CTCATTTACTCTATATATTTTTAAGGTGTGCTTCTTCATGCTCATATCTATTTATTTATCAGATAGGGTCTTATTTATTTATTTATTTATTTATTTACTTATTTTGTTTGAGACAAGGTCTCCTATATCTCAGCAGACCTCTTACTTCTTATATAGCTGAAGATTTTCTTGAACTTCTGTTCTGTCTGCTTCACCTCATGAGTGCTAGGTTTACAGGTAAGCACCACCATGCGGTCTATGTGTTGCTGATTGGAGTCCAAGGCTTCATGCCTTCGAGGCAAGTACGCTATCAACTGAGTAATATTGCCAACCCCTAGAAAAGATGTGTGTGTGTGTATCAGAGAAAATCTTTATAGGAGTGACCACTTTCCTTCTCCCTTGTGGGTCCTCAAGGTGAACCTACATCATTAGGTTTGGTGGCAGGCACCTGGTGAGCCATCACCCAAGCACCTAAATGGTTTTGTAACTTGGGTTTTAATTGTTCATAGATTCACATGGTGCAGAATTAGAGAATGAAATGTTTTCTTCCCTGTAGTGGAGAAAGTTCAGAACTCCCTGAACCTTTCCATGTCATTGTCCTAGAATATCTCATGTCACTGGATTCCTGAGGAAATGGTGGATAGAACATTGTTCTGCCTTCCCCCCAGGTGACCATGTACCACTGGGACCTGCCCCAGGCACTGCAAGACATCGGGGGCTGGGAGAATGAGACAATTGTGCAGCTGTTTAAGGAGTATGCAGATGTGCTCTTCCAGAGGCTGGGGGACAAGGTGAAGTTTTGGATCACACTGAATGAGCCCTACGTCATTGCTGCCCATGGCTATGGCAGTGGGGTGTCTGCTCCAGGTAAAGACCACAGGTCTAAATGTTTGGATCATGACATTTGTAGGACAGTGAAGCCCTGGTATCCAGATGTCATGAGAAGTCACTGACAGGCAGTGTGTTGTATTCCCTACCTCCACAGGCCTGATGAGAGGGCTCAGCTCTAATGTGCTTACCGTGAAGGTCTGGGGGTCTGAGTTCTCTCTTCAGAACTCATGCAAAACCCAAAAGAAACAAACAAACAAACAAAAACCTGGTAAAGTAACCCTAGCCCTGGGAAGGCAGAGCCAGGTGACCCTCTGGGGCTCCCATGTCCCTCAGTCTACCCTAGTTTAGGTCCACAAGTGATCCTGTCACAGAGAAGTAGGTGGTCTCTTTGTGAATGATACCTGAGGCTGTCCTCTGGCCTCCACCTACACTCACACATGTCAGCACATGCTGCTGCACACACATGCTCCTGCGTACACACACATGCTCCTGCACACACATGCTCCTGCACACACATGGTCCTGCACACACATGCTCCTTCACATACACGCTCCTGCACACACATGCTCGTGCACACAACATGCTCCTACACACATACATGCTCCTGCACACATACATGTTCCTTCACACATACATGCTCCTGCACACAACATGCTCCTACACACATACATGCTCCTGCACACATACATGCTCCTACACACATACATGCTCCTGCACACACA